ATGCATGTACTATTTCCTTGAATACTGAAAGATAGTAATTGTTACGGTATTAAAATGCGGATGCGGTTCGTTCGTGCGCACACGCACGCTATTCGTAGATATACGAGTATACGCAAACTATTACTTAAAAGCAATCTCAAATGAAACAATTTAATAGTATTTTATTTTTATTTAAAAATGTTAGCTCTATTTTAGTCATCATTATTATAATCCTTCATCATTCCAACACTGGGTATGAATTTGTACAGAGGAGGGAAGGGTATATTACTAGCGATCTTAAGTAGCTACTTCGCATAAGTAGAAACATTGTTAGCGACTTCACATAAGTAGACAGAATTTTAAAAAATCAAACCCAATAATAAAAAAATGTTTTAGCCAATTCAATTGATCGGTTATTTTATAGTATTTTCTATGTGATTCTTTAGATTGATATAACTTTTTTATTTATGAGTAGATTGAAATAAAGTAAACATTAAATGTTAAGCGGAGCAGACCAGAACACATTAATTAAAACCGCATTCAAATCGGTTATTTCTGTAACTAACGTGCACAAACGTACAGACAAACAGATAAAAATACTAAAAATCATTGTTTTGGGTTCTATTGCGAACTGTATATCGCGGCTTTTCTCGCGTGAATTAGGAATAAAAATTTATCATACATTAATTCAGAATGTCGTCTGTTATCAATAATATTTAATTAAATTATGTTTTTAAAAAATATAATATATATATATATATATATATATATATATATATATATATATATATATATATATATATATATATATATATATATATATATATATATATAATTATATCGCCAACTTTTTTTATGCTAATATACGTCTTTGGCAATTTGACGTATAAAAGATTTTTTTTATACAATTTAGAATGGTAAACAAGCTAACGGCCCACCTGATGGAAAGTGGTAACCGTCGCCTATAGACATGAGCAGTACCATGGACATAACAAAGTTTACTGTTTCGCCCATGATACCCCTCATGCGTTGCCATTCCTGAGGACTCAGGTGTTATTCCTCTGTACCTAGTAAATTCACGTCATATCCCACCCTTCAAACTGAAACACAGCCATACAAATATAACGGCTTCACGGTTGAAACATGAATGGGACAGAGGTACCCAAGCAATCGACTTTTGTACAAAATCTTCCCTGTTGATATACATAGATATGTAAGATAAACATCTATTTATAATATGCATATGAATAGAATGCTAAACACCTTTTTTACAATGTAATACATTTATACTAATCTATGATCTGCTAATATTACACAGAGGAAATATTCGATTGTTTGTTTGTTTGAAAGGGATAAACTCAAAAACTTCTAAACTGGTGTAGAATTATTTCACATATAGAAAGCTACATTATCAACAAGTAACATAAGTTATAAAAGTTAAATTAAAATAAATAATAAATATAGATAATTTAAACTATAAATAAATATATATTTTGATATCAGTTTTTTCGAAAAAATTTTGAGCCCGTGCTAAGCCGCATCAAATTGCTAGTAATTAATAATAGTAGAACACAAACAGTATATGTAGGTATCTATATACAAGAAAGGTTTTTAAGAAATCGATTATCATCATTATCATATCAGTCTTTAATTATCCACTGCTGGACATAAACCTCCCCCTAGAGGGGTTTTGCCAGTAGTTGCAACGTTTGGCAGGCAGATAGGCAACTGCAGTTAAGCTTTGGAGATGTTTTAAGAGGGACGTTGCTGCCTATTCCTCGCCCGATACCTGTCTTAATATAAGAATTTCATGTATTATGTACGTATATAAAAGACAACGGGTTACACAATTATCTAGTATAGCGTAATAATGTAATTAAAAATGATTGATCGTAATGTATCATATAATAAATTTTTTATTTATTTATTTAATAAGGTTCACATACAACTTTTACATTTTACATGCAACTTAATAACACAAAAAATAATTTTGCCTAATGTAAAAATCTTTTATACGCGAACACCACATGCACTATTATAATATTTAATAAATCATTAACAATAACAGTAAAATTATCTGAATAATAAGTAATTATGAACTTATGTCTAAGATTTTCCGCAATAAGCTATATCTGCTGTTGGTGGGTCCAAAATTGACTGTGATAGAACACGGAAGAATATATTAGTTATTTATTGTTGGAAAACAACGAATTTTATATTCATTTTTCTTTTTTGTTGAATAGTTTACACAAGTTTTAACAGCAAGTTATCTACAAAAGCGTATTTCTAAAAAGTGGTAAACATAATGCAGTACAGACTCGTAAACATAATAAGATATCCTGTTATTATTATATATTAGACTTTTTCAAAGTGGCCACGATAAAAATATCCTAAATCCCTCACTATTTCAATTACATGTGTGATAAATTTTATGAAGACTGGTCGAGTTCTTACGATAGATAAAAAACAAATTCCCGGAAACATTTCCATTAACAAATAAATAAACAACATTTTGTAGCACTTTTATTCTATCGTTTTAGTAAATATTATATAAATGTTGAGGTATTGTATCTAAATTTGGTATGTGAGGAGGGTATTAAAATCGGATTAGCCTGCCTGTGTAACTATTATAATATAATCTGTATCTATGGTGGTAAGAAATCATTGTAGGTATTAGTCAGGATTTGATTAGGCTAATACGTATTACCGCCCTGACGCACGGAGTAGTTGGTTGATTTGTCTTCGGTCATTAACAGAAATATTTAAGGATCTTAATTAGAATTATGTTTTGTTATTATTATTATTTACTAGCTGACCCCGTAAACGTTGTTTTACCACTTATTTCCAAATATAAAAATTGCGATTAAAATACAGGGGTTGATCGTAAAACGATGAAAATTTAAAGTTGTATGTATTTTTCAATGCTAAATTATAATAAAATAAAAATAAAAAAATTTGTCAAAAAAATAAAAAAATAAATTTTAGGGTGGGTCACCCTTATCATTGATGGGTATGAAAAATAGATGTTGGCCGATTCTTAGTCCTACCCAATATGCACACAAAATTTCATAAATATTGGTAAAGCCGTTTCGGAGGAGTTTGGTAACAAACACCGTGACACGAAATTTTATATATTAGATTATATTATATATATTATTTATTATATATATATATATATATATATATATATATTATATTATATATATTATTATATATAATTAATTAAACAAATAATACATGGGTATAAGAATATGTTAATTAAATTAATAGATACTAAGTTTATTAATTGGTAATCAATTTATTTATCTCTTTTTAGTAAGATTTTTTGGATTACAGTTTTTGAAATCGATTTAATTTTTAAAAGAATATTTTTATGTCGTATGTATGTTACAGATGTTGAAAAATAATTATATTTTTACATATTATGTGAATATACATTTCTTGTGTTGTCTATTTCAATTAGATATATTTTTATTGTACATTGTGTGTTAAAGGTTTAAAAGATCTGCTAGTAGTTTTGAATGTCGCTTATACTTCCATCTTGTATGTATGGTATTCATATTATGATTGCACTAGTGGCTATTGTGGTTTCCACAATTTATATTACATCAACAAATAGATGACTAAATCCATACAAATAAGGGGCACAGATTACAACAACGGCCATTAAGTACGTGATAATGAGAGACTTTATTGTGAAAATTTGACATCATGATGTCACAATTGCATATAACATTTTTAATTTTATTGAGCGTAGTGAAACAAACAAAAATGAATGAAAATATATATATATTTTTTTTTACAACACTGGGGGCAAACGAGCATGCGGCTCACCTGATGGTAAGTGACTACCGCCGCCCATGATCACCCACAACACCAACGGCATTGCAGGTGTGCTGCCGGCTTTTTAAAAAGGAATATACTCTTTTCTTGAAGGTTATGTTGTCGTATCGGTTCGGAAATATTGCTGCTGGAAGTTGATTCCAAAGAATGGTTGTGCGTGGAAGAAAGTGCCTTGAAAAACGCACGGTGGAAGACCGCCACTCGTCCAGATGATTGGGAATTATATATCCAATATAGAAACAATGTTATCATTGAATAAGTGTTACATATGAAATATATAATATATACTTCATGTATATATATATATTTTTTTGATGGGTGAAAATGGTATGGTAACCCCGGCTGCGCTAACGGGATATGCTGCCGGAGCACCAGTGAAGGGTGATAGATGAGAATGAAAACAGGCCAGTTAGCCTATCATGATGAATTCATCAGGAATTAACTATGATAGTTTCCAGAGAGAACGGCGAGGAGGTCGACCTGGTTGGGTATATTGCTAGCAATAGGATTCTCAGTCTCCATTACTAACAATCCCTTTCCCCCTATGTGTATATATTATATATTATATCGATTCCATTCGAGTAAGTCAAGCGCGAGCTACATTATTATTAAACTGTTAAGTACAATAATGAAAACGTGATCATTGAGTAAACGCATGCTTTTAAATTAATATTTGCCTTACGATTTTATATAACATATCAAATAAGTCTTAGTAAAGAAAATTCATAATTTAACATTATTAACCAACTTCAATAAGAAACGATCTCTCAATTCGACTGTATTTTTGTGTGTTTGAATTAGTAAATCAATTTTATTTTTAATCTATAGAGTTTTAGAAGAGAAGTTATTTCTATATTGACCCGAAATATGATTGTGTGAAGTTTGAAGTTAATTTGAAGTTTTATTAAACAATATACTATATAAACGATTGACACATTGAATTTTATAATTAGCTTTTTCAGAGAACCCTAAAATTCCTACTTTTAAAGTAGTTTATGAAACTATGTTCTGTTGTTATAAAGTAGAATCCTATTAACTCACAACAAGGTGCAGAATGGATACGTTTTGTGCATGCGCTAAATGCACACTTGCACCCGTGCAGAACTCTTTCAGGCGTGAAAATGAATGTTATAAATAAACAAGCACACCACGAATAATTATCATACGACTCTGAAGGCCAGTGCAGTTTTGACTAGTGCATTATCAAAAAAAAAGTGCAAAAAAGTTCTTTCGTCTCTCGGTCGGCAGCAGCTTTCGTCAATGGATTGGTTGAGATTGGTCGGTATCTTTTCTGGTGCATTCGATATTGTACGTGAACGTGGACAGTGAATTTGTGATAAAAGAAATTGTGATATTTTGTGAGATTTTAGTGTTTTAATAGAGCAATAAATGTATATTTATGTTCTATGCACGACGACTATGGACTATTCCTTTTGGATAGGTGTGAGTTGCATTGTTGTGACGATATACTAAACAGTTACAGTACTTATGAAAATTAATAGTTTCAAATACAGAGATAGAAATATAAATATTTATATATTTATTTATTATTAATTAGAAGTTAAATTCTATTTGTTTATGTTCAATAAAGATATTAAAAGTATTGCAAATTATTATTATCTTATTAGATTAACGCTTTTAGCATACCAAATAAAGTAGTAACTAAACGTAATATTATAAGTATTTCACTTACAAATTATTGCAGTGCCTGCCCTTTCATCCAAGCGACTCGTATATATTTACTGAGATAAAAAAAGGAGTATAATATGCCCCTTTCAGTCACAAATACTGCATACATGCAATATTTCATAATAATTAAGTTGTTAATTTTCTATATTAATAAAGATTATTTAATTATTTAAACTTTAATGCACAATGTGATTACAGGTATATACAGATATTATTGTATAATCTTTAATAACTTTGTTATACCATTATATTGAATAAAGTAAAAAAATATTAGAATTAAAACATACGATCACACGAACCCTGCTAAACAATGATAGATTAGGTCCTATCTAGCAGAGTATAATATATAGCCATCTTTCTACCATTATTTCTCGTACGAAATATCATTTATACCCATTTCTAGTTAGATACCAAGAGATTATATTTTAGATTATATTATTTTTTACCAGAACTATATATTCAGCTAGTTTCATTTCTAGAACTTTTACATAGCTGTGATATCTAAGCAGACCTCTATTCGGTGCAACTACTTGATCATTATATATATTATATTAATATAATTTCTGTTTTGTTACAGTTCGCTCTTCTGATAGCTGTTGCTTCAGTTACAGTAACGGCAGAAGGATCAAAGTAAGTATATTAAGGATATCAAAAAAATATGAAAAATCTTTACATATTCTTTATTATATCATAATATAACGCATAAACATTTAATATTTAATGTAATGTGGAACTATATTGATATTTGTTTATTTTCCTGAAAGAAGATTTTACTGCAGATATAATAGTATACTTTTAATTTGGCATTACTAAATTGCTAAGTGACCATAAATTAATTATTAATAGTCACTTAATTAATTTTTTTTCAAATATTATAAATATTATTTTTCTTTTTACATGCATATATAATTTTTGTGTTCATTAACTAAAATAAGAATACTTCTAAAATGTATTACGCATTTTAAAAATTCAAGCGTTATAATTTTTATAATGCGTAATAATTTTTAAAATGCTTGAACATGTATCCAAAATATAAATATATAATAATAAAAATCATATCAAATTTTTGATAGTAATAAAATTATTTGAATTAAAACATTTTATATTTACATTATTTTTTTTATTATATTTTATTGTCTATTTTAATAACTATGCGAAAGTATAAACAAATGCAAGCTATGCGATGGATCTTGTTACTGTCAATGTTAATGTGCCGACAATTGCGATTTAATTTGTATGTTTCCCCTTTAACACTAATTATATGAACACTGATCCTATAGCCAACCAGGCGCATAAATAACGCCTACTGACTAGAAAGTACGAATTATTCCCAAGTGCGATGCACTATAAAAAATTATGACATTATATTGAACTGTTAATATATCAAGTGTGACGGATAATGTATATATGGCAACAGCGACGTCGCAACGGCGTCGAGAGGGAAAGCCACTACCGCATCACGCGCTAAGCCAATGACATTAGACGGAACCGCGTAGGAACATAAAAACATGGCTATTGAGCAAACATGCAATTCATTACCGCACGACAGTATACCAGCACTCTAATTTTCTTTTGTTGCAGGAAAAAGATCCGCATACATCTTCCACAAAAAGTCAAGCACATACATCATCACAAAAAGATCTATATTACTAATCACCCTGCACCCTCACAATATGCCCCCGCTTATTTGCCGAGTGCTGAAGGTGCTGTGGCTGTACCAACAAACGTTGCGCTACCGGCTGTTGCCAATATTGTGCCTCTGAATTCCGTAGAATTATATGATGATTCTCAGCCACGCTTGCCGGGATTAAAACCAGCGGCATCTAAAGTATTGCCGCTATACCGTGCAAGAGGTTATTATGGACCAACACCCAATGAATGGGATGAGCCAGAATACGACTCAGGGTTGACACATGAAAACACAGATAATTCGTATACACCTGCCGTCCATCCACCGCCACCAGTGCTAACACCGACATCTAATCATATTCCAAAAAGAGTTAAAGTTATAAAAGTTAACGACCAGCCGCGGAAGAAAGTTCTCAAAAAACCTAAACAAAAACGTGTTCCAATAAGAAGTCAATCTCCATCAGAAGAAGAACATCCAGTAACAAACTTTCATGAACAATTTTATTCAGATTTAGATGGTTCAGGAACCATAAGAAAAATTAAGAAGCCACAAAGAGTCGAAAAAATAATCGATGGAGATACCGAACATATCCATACGTACAGCGAAGAACATATTCATAAATTAGTTTTTGATGATGGCCCTAAGACATCGGGGTTAGCTGGAGTTGATCAATTAAATAGTATGTCTGCTATTAGTGCAGCAAATCCACTATTTCAGTCTATTAAAAATGGGCAATTAATAGCAATTCCTTCAGAACCACTAACAGGTTTCACAGCAATTGGATCCTTAGGAACTCCGTCACATCTGGAATATGCTTCATATAATCCAAGAGATGTTACTCATGATCACATTTTTCATGACCATGGAGAGATACCTCCAGAAGTAGATATTACAAAAGAAACTTTAGGATTTCCTCCTAGAGCCTCGTATACTAGTCATGGTGTGAGAATCAACGGCGGATTCGGGAACAAAAGATATAAAAATAAACATTCGCATAAATACCCGAAAGCCACAAAATCAACACCAGTTAATGACTTATCTTATTATGAAAGTATATATACCCCTTACAATGGATTTAAAAGTCCGCAAAAAGCACTTGTTTCACAATACGATACAGCAGGAGAGCCGGCCGTAGAAAACTATAGACCTATACCGTCTTTTAAATTTTTCAGTAAAAATCCCAATAAAATTCGTAGTACCTATGGAAACAATGTTCAACAAACTAATGTACCAGCACCATATTCGGTATCGTCCACTATAGTTCATGATTATCAACCAAAATCTTATCCTGGAGCTTTACCTCCTAGTGGATTTTCTAAATTTAAAGATCCATTTGTAAATTTTAAGGATAGCTATTCAAATAACTATGAATATGATACATATGCTTCATCATCAAACGTGTTTACATCAGAAGACAAGAATGATAATTCCTTAGTGGCTGTTCAGAATTTAAAAGGAAAAAAGTCTATATCAACGCAAAATATCAGTTTTGGTGGACAAGAACCAAAGACTATGGTAGTGGACCATTTAGAAGATAGCAATATCTCATCTGAATTACATGACGATACACCTTCTGCATTTGACAATTTAAGCAGTTATGATCATACAGATCTTACACAAGTATCGGATGCTACTAGCCCTACAGCTTACACTATCAGAGAATCATCTCCCGCCCACCCATATTATACAGCAATGGCAATCAAAGCGTTACATACTGGCCAAGCACCAGAACCCGAGGCATCGAACGACAACTATCAATACGCAGAAGCGCCTAGCCAATCAACTACACCATATACAACATCTATTGCGACTACCACTAGCGCTCCATTGGCTTACTTTGAAAATCAAAGTACGAGTACAATTACAACCGAACTACCAAGGCTTGTTTCCGAAAATGAACACGCACCCAGGCATAAACATAAAAAAAATATGTCAAATAAAAAAACTCGCCAAAAGTATATTGTGATTAATGAATTAGATAAAATGACAGAATTTAATAATGGAGATAGTCAATCACAAGCTCGCAAACAGCTTCATCATAACCATCAAATATCAGAAGACTCCGGTGTTAGAGGGAAATTTAAATATGGTGACAAACTATGAAGTTAGTTATATTAAAGTAGGTGTATATATAGTTGTTCGTGAGTTTAGGTAGTTTTGCGTTTGTTACTCTTTGCCGCAAGTGTGATGATATAAATCTATGTTTTGAGAACATTATTTATAGCGTGTTGTAGTTCTAATAAATCTAACTCGAATTTTAGCTATAGAACAAGACGACAATGGTATTCATGCATTTTATACGAATCCATAGACGATGTGTTAAAAAATAAACAAGAGAATAAAATTGAATAAAAAAATCGTTTATTTTACAATTACTTATTAAATGGCACTAATTAAAATGTATAATACACTCCTTTTTTATGTTTATTTAACGAAATCAAGAAGGGTTGAATTCCTACGGAGCGTTGACGTCGGCAAGGTAAACGCCTTGACAAATTTGTACTGCAACGAAGATTGTGAAAGTACTAACATCTAATTAAAAGTTCCAGGCGTCTTGGCATAGATATAATACAGGTTACTGAAATATATATAAAGTAAGAGGTAAATTAGTAAATATTTTTAAATTTATTTTATATTAATATTTTTCTTAAAATGATAATCAAGTTAAACCTTAAATTAAAAAGCGTCATTTAAAGATTATGAACATCACCATCATATCAGCTGTATCTGTTTACTGCTGAACATAGGCCTTCCCATCGACTGCTAGAAGGAACGGCTCTAAGCTACCTGCATCCACTGTTTCCCTGCAATGACTTTGAGGTCGTCACTGCATCTAGTGGGGATCATCCTACACTGCGCAAAAGCCTTTCTTTCCTTTCTCTCGGTTCTTCCAGCTTTATAACCAGCCTACTACCACTTCAGCTTGCTTATTCGGGCTATATCGATTATTTTGGTTCTTTTACGGATGAACATAAAATAATACCTACTTGTATTATCCATTTCATCGTACACCTAATACAATTCATTTATATAAATTGGTTCAAACCACAAAACTGAAAAAAAATATTCATTTACTTAATAACTCATAACCGCTGTGGCCAGCATGCTTCTTAACTCTTCATATATAAGTACATATACTTACTCTGTGGTGTGTATTTGCTAAATACTACGATTTTCTCGATTAATATATATCTTTATATGATTATAAATTGGTATTATATATTGTAAGTATATTGAAACAGATTTTTTTATATATAAAATCAATTTCCTATTCAAGCAAATTTCATTTTTATATGTAAATCCAATTTCAGTCAGAGCGTTGTAGTTTAAAATTTATGGTATACTCGAACTATCATGACTACAAGTTTTGAACCTTAGATCCTTAAAAATCATCTGTTTGGATATTATTAAAACCAAGCATAAAATACTTATTCAGATTAAATATCTGACAATAAAACTTCAGTGACGGAGGCAATTTCGACCCCCGTCAAATAGGATTTTAGTATGGTCGGCAAAATGCGGGTATGTCGCGTATTATGTTCTCTATAATATTATATTAATAACTGGCATATGACCTTATATACCGTTAGGACTTATAAATTGACTACATATATATAAAATTATCTAATATTACTATATAAGTATACGTTTACGTTTTTTCCCGTATAAAATGCAATATGTATTGCAATTTTCATAACGATTCTATGGGGCGTTAAAGTGCCAAACAAAAAATTAGTCATTTTTATATTTACAATATTAATACAGTTATTTCATTTTTGCAGTTTGTAGACATCACTGGCTTATAAGACTCGTTACAATTGAATCAAGACCATAAGCTTTACCGAGTGAAGGGCAGGGTGTTTTTATGTAACGCAGTCAAAATCTTCTGGGCCGGTCTCTATGGTGTATTGTCGTAATAGTATCTTATGTAACTTTATCATTTCGTTAATCAACTTACTCTGTAATCTCAGTAGAGTACCTACAGTAATCTTTAGCTGAATTTTGTATATTGTATATCTCTCATAGGTATAACGTATACCTACTCGTACTTTCTAAAAAAAAGTTATTATATTTAATCCATAAGTATATAAACATCATGTTTTTTATACTTTATTACTGACCTAAAACAACTATCGTGATCGGTAAGCTTGAATATGTCCCACAACAAAGTTTTGTCAATTTAAATTTTCGACTCGTCATCTTACACCCATGCTCCGGGGGAAAGGGACTGTTAGTAATGGCGACTGAGAATCCTATTGCTAGCAATATACCCAACCAAGTCGACCTCCTCGCGGTTCTCCCTAGAAACTATCATGGTTAATTCCTGATGAATTCATCATGATGAACTAACTGACCTGTTTTCATTCTCATCTATCACCCTTCACTGGTGCTCCCCCAGCGTATCCCGTTAGCGCAGGCAGGGTTACTATACTATTTTCACCCATAAAAAAAAACACCCATGCTCGGTGCAATATGGAAAAATTGAGTAAGTATTACGCTTATCAATTATATACGTAATATATAAAAATTACCACATCTAAAACTCGGAATTTTGGTTTACACATTCCATGACATTCCTTTTATGTCATGCAGTGAGTTCATTCTTACAATTAAAAGTTACATTTTTCTACATATTCTTTTTAATAGCATTAGATTTCATTACTTATGAAAACCGTTTATTATTATTGAGTACCTATCTAGTCACTTGTAAACTGACTCGGAAACTTGCCATAGTTGATTACGCACGATGTAAACTAGTGAAAATACGTACTATCTGCTATTTATCGGATATAATGTTCTAGAAATATGCATAACTCGTTCCTGTTGCCTATGTTTATGATCTGCAGGTAAGCTGACCATTTCCTCATAGACGCTTTCACAGACTTGCTATGTAACTATTGCATAATGCCATTATTATCTTATGTTTCGAGTTTGTAAGTAGTAAATGTGCTTAATGTCTTATAATAATTTTTATATCAAAACCTGTTTTCACAGGTTTGTATTGTATCACATAATTAAACGATAATGACTTATTATGTACTTTTAAATAAGTTTAGCACTTAGTCTTTTTTATAGGTATACCTAGTTCAATGATCGAAAACAATGGAAGTTTCCTACTGGATGCATATTTATTTAAATATTTATTAACCGACTATGAACACTAGAATGTTAATACCCTAACAGATTTCTACTTAATTGATCAATACCATGTTAGAAACTGGAGTAAAGTATGTTTAGGTATTATATATATTAAAGCTTTATTTATAACAAGCCATAGCGTGTCAAACAAAGAATATTAAAGGCTAATAAGTCTACAGATACATTATTTCATAAAACGATTTTATAATTTATTATAAGAAAATATATTAGTAGGTTTAAATAAAACACCCTTTAAATTAAATAATATTTACTACAACAATAACAACAATAACTTAATCTATAACTTATTTACAATATTTGAACTTTGTATCTAATACTGGATAAAACAATTATCCATATTTTAACAATTGAAGACTATGACTTAGTTGGCCCCATTATAATAATTACAGGTCAGGCTTCACTTTCTTTTGTGGTAAGGTCCACCGCCATGTCCTGAACCGAGTGCATTTGTATAACTGTCACCACCGAAGCTTCCATGACCTCCTGAACTACCTAATCCAATACTGTAACTGTCTCCACCGTGGCTACCTCCAAATCCACCGTGACCTCCATGGCTCCCGTGTCCACCTCCAAACGAGAGGCCACTGGATCCAGAAAACCCACCGTGTCCACCTATGCTGTAGCTATCGTGACCTCCGCCGAAACCTCCAGATCCATGACTGTCATGGCCTCCAAAACTACCTCCGAAACCACCAGAGCCATGGCTACTATGACCACCTATGTCACCTCCGAAACCACCAGAGCCATGACTATCATGACCACCCACACTGTAACTGTCATGTCCACCAGATGATAATCCACCGCTATAACTGTCATGTCCTCCTGATGAAAATCCATGTCCTCCTCCAAATCCACCGGAAAAACCACCACTGCTGTGATGGTCATCGTGACCACCTCCAAATCCACCTCCAAAGCTTCCGCCATGTCCACCACTAACTCCACCGGAATATCCACCGCCGCCGTGATGGTCATCATGTCCACCTCCAAAACCACCTCCTAAGCTACCACCGAAGTCATGGCCGCCGTGGTCATGTCCGCCAATGTGGCCACCACCTAATCCACCGTCGAAACTACCACCTAAATCATGGCTACTGTGATCGTGTCCACCTCCGTGACTGCCTCCAAAACTACCACCGAAACTTCCGCCGTGACTGCCGTGACCCCCCAATTCAATACCACCTCCGTGACCTCCATGACCACCTCCTAAATCATAACCTCCATGTCCACCTCCTAATTCCAATCCTCCATCTCCACCGCCTAATTCCAATCCTCCATGGCCTCCTCCAAAATCATGCCCATGGCCGCCTGAACTTCCATGACCACCTCCAAAGTCATGACCACCATGGCCGCCACCAATTCCTCCACTTATTGAAATACCATGGCCGTGGTCACCGCCGAAACTTCCGCCATAACCGCCTCCAAAGTCATGTCCTCCGTGACCACCTCCGAAGTCATGTCCTCCATGACTACCACCGAAGTCATGCCCGCCATGACCACCACCAAATCCTCCGCCATGGCCCCCACCAAATCCACCGCCATGGCCTCCACCAAATCCACCGCCATGACCTTTGAGATGATCTACGAATCCACCATGTAAATGGTCAGCGAAGCTTCCTCCGCCATGACCGTGGCTACCGCCGTGACCACCGCCGTAGCCTCCCCCGCCTCCATGGCCATGATCGTCATGGTGATGTTCTTCATGTACGACTACTTCTTTTGATGAGTGATGTTCTTCGGGTAGGTGAACTCGAATATGAACACTGTAATGAATAAAAAAAAAAAAACAAATTTATCATCATTGTTATTGTACACATAAAACGACATCACATTATACAAACAATAGGAATCTACAAAAGGAACAATAGCTCGCAAAGCCAGCAGGTCAAACGTGATTCTAGTGAAAACAAAGGTAAGGGTAGATCTGTCATTAAAACACAATAGCTTGATTTTCACCATTTACCGCAATAAAGAGACGCGTGAGAAACACTTATAGAAATCTCAACCAAATTACTCCATCCAAAGCTTTTTTGCGGTTCCGTCATGGTATAGACGTGCCGCAGAGTAGATAGATAAAACAAATATATTAATATAAACTTTGAAAAATGATGGAGGAATTTGTTAATAATTATGGGACCATGAAAATACTAACTGTTCATGTCCAAAAGTCGCGAAGCAGACGCCAACGCTAGCCAGTAGAAAACAGCACAGCTGAAATAACAATAATATAAATTGTGATTCCGATTATTTACTATGGGATAGAGTATTTTATAAAACTACGGCTCTACTAATACGTGCATTAATTCAAATCTAATGTTTTTATTAAAAAGAATATAGTCATATACATACCTAAATGAATATATATGGAATCGAAAGTGGTCACTATAGCGTGTACTAGATAGCATCGGTTATTCCGAATGACGTAAGTTGTAATACGAGCAGTTGCCTGCCAGTCTATACTCGTACAATGGTACGGTTACATAGTCACACCTCATATGGACTATGTTACACTTAAGAAATGTGTTTAATTGTTACAAAAGCTTTCTTTTTCAGCACCACAGTACTTACGAGTACATTGTCTTATATAAGAGCGCAATGCTTAATTCCTGTTCTTTTAAAGGCATCCAAATTTTTTAATAACAATATATCTTTTTTAATAATAATATATATTTGTAAAAATTAACGTTAAAAATAATCAAAACTCAGTCAGTAGATTTAAAACTAATTTAGATATTTAATATGTTATAATATTTTTTTTTATTATAATCCCATAATTTATTTTCATTAAGGTACCAATACACGAGAAATATGATTACAAGGAAACAATCTGGAATCAATTCGCTATTTCGCGTCAAGTGTTATGTGTACTTACGGCAAAATAGGAAGGCATGTTGCGTGGGGAGAGAACGTGCTCCTAGTTAGGGACCTTCCCACACCAGCTCCTCTCGCTGATGATATGAATGTAACTTTGTGACGCTGCAAACATCGAGCGAGCCTTTTATATGACAGTGAATGTTACGATCCCTCCTCCACACGCTAAAAATGTATTGATAATGTAAATTCAAGTAATTAAAACAAATACACTATGTAAGTAATACCAGCAAACTTGACATGTCATCTTGTGCCTGATTCAGCTAAATTGATACATTGAACTTCCACTTAATGCTAGTTAGCATTCTAAACTTTTTACTCCTATTATTACCTTTTTTTGCACTAGGTATTTGCTTTTGTTATTGTGATGTAATTTTATGTAGGTAGGTATTTAGAGTAAGAAAACAATAGATTGGGATGATGATGGATAACATGTGAAAAACAAAAGTTTTAGAAGATGAGCTTTTTATTAGGTGGATTAAAGAATACGCAATTATTATTTATTTATTGTTTCCTTTCGTAATGTTAGCTAAACAAAATTTTTAAATATAAATAACGTCTATCTTCCTACCTCGTGGTCCACAGGTATTGACAAACATAATACTGAAGGACGGCTGAAGAATTGTGTATAAATATTAGATATATAGAGATTAATATTTATTCATATATATATACTATGATCATAGCTCATGATACTATAATCTTGGATATATCATGGGATGTTTCTCAGTTTTATATAATTTATTAAAATTTAGTCCATTGCCTATTCAATTATTAGAAAAAGAAACTTGGATAGCAAAGCACAGTACACCAATGCAAAAAAGGAAAGCTCTTATGGGGACTCTTTATTATTCCTCTTAAAGAATGATACAGATTACATAAGTTAACAATATGTACACAAATAAATCTTAATTACGAGAAGCGAGGTAAAGAGGTAACAATGGGCGGTCTTATCGCTAAATAGTAATCTTTTCCAGGTAACCTTAGGATAGAGAGAAATAATTAAAGTTTCGTCTGGTCAACAACAATATATACATATATAAAACATATAGCGTAACAATAGAAAAATAATAAAACTGAAGAAATAAAGAGGTTAAAATCATATTTAAACGCACTATAAACAATAATAAGTACACTTACATATAATAATGAAAATACAAATATAAAAAACATAGTTATAACGTAATATTAATAATGTAGGAAAATAGCAATTATTTGATGATAATTAGTAGATGGTCAATATCTCATAAAGCAACAGTCTTTATAATTATCGTTATAATTTGCTTACAAACTACTAAGATGTTCTATCACTTATATCAACGACAATATACTCTGGATTAAAGAAATCCATTCCTTTAGATAGAAAACAACAATCCACGCAATATTGCTAGATAATTAAATAAGTTAGACGGTTATGATTATCAATAATGTAGATCCCGCCTACCTATTTTATGGGTAATTATAACCCAAACTGGTTACATAACTTGAATTAATCGGTACTCTTTGAAAAAATATAATAGTCTGACCGAAGCTTTGCCCTTATGATTAAGATAAAAGTAACCTAGTTAATAAAAAATATAGGCTGTCTCTGTACCAAATTTCAACATTTCTAAACAGCTTTATACACACATTTTATTATAATTAGTTGGATAATAATAATACAAAACTAGTGACTGTGGTCGGAGGATCTGCTGATTAAAACCCTAAAAAAAAAACGACCGAAGTTTTCAAACATAAGTATGTTTAGAACACCTATTATCATTTAGAGTAGGTATATATTGAAGGATACGTGAAGATGTGAACCGAAAAACCACATTCATTATGATAATAGAATGATAATTCCACTTGTACTGTCAGTATACGCAGGCGGAATATGAGTGAAGGATGATAGATAAAGATGAAGGCAAATTTATAATGATGAATACATCAGGAATTACCCACGATAATTTCCAAGGGAAAACGCGCGAAGGTCAATCTGATAGGATATATTACTAACAATGGGATAACTAAACCGCATTTCAGATAATCCAATCCCCCCAGTAAACTATTTTAGAATGTAATAATACAATATATAAATATAACAATATTATATATAATATAACATAGTAATATAACGTAGAAATGTGACTTTGGAGGAAGCGGAAGATTTGTATTACTTAAGATATAGGGTACCTTATACATTGTGTATGTACCTTATGTATTATATATTATGTATATCATTCAAATCCAACTTCTATTAATTTAGAGGTAATATATTCCCGGTTAAAATTTGAGCTTTAAGCTATTAATTCGTTAATCTTTAATTTATTAAATATCATATATAAAAAGGAACTAAGGAACGAAGTACAATACACTAGTTCGTTTGTATCTTCTTTTTGTTGAGATAAAATCAAAGCTGATAATGGATTGTTATAGTTTATTTCGAATTATGATAAACTCTTTCCCTATAAGGGCAACAATTTGTAGCTTCTGAAACTACCCAATAGTGTAACTCAGTGTATATTTTCTTTTATGATAAATTTTACATTTGTGTAGATTAAATATGATAAAACTATCTACCAGCAATAAACCAAACACAAAAAAGCATTACGATAAATTGTTTGTATCGGTTATACTTGTCAAATAAAATAATTATTATTCTATATATATATATATATATATATATATACATATATTAATTTTTGATAATCCGAATCATATACAATACAGGAAATGTAGCCAGAAAGTGTGCTATACGTTTATTAGTCGACATACCTATGTAATAATTATTATGAGATGAAACGAAAAAATCATGTACATTACGCAAACAACGCTCTATGGACATCCTCTTTTTTTATAAACAACTTGTACAATAAAATATTTGTTGAGTGTCATTTATTGTTGAGACAAGTGGTTTATTACGTCTTGGAAAACAAAATAGTTATGGAAAAAAGTGTACCTAGTTGCATGTCGATAGTAGTGAATCTATGAAATCATGAGTATATAAAATTTTTACAGAGGTTATTCACATACTTAAATGTATAGTAGGTATTCAGAAAAGAAAGAATTTTGGGAATTCCTATAATAATGTAAAGGGTGACATGTATTGCTTAGAGACAAAAACGACAACGTCACCCGTAACGAACCCATTATTGCATCTCAGGCGAACATCAATCTCGCGAAATTCGAATCATTCAACAAGGTAATGTGGATATGTTGCCTAGCCATTTCTAATATGATAAATAATAATCTTTTCTTCAAACTTTAAAAAAAACCTGTTTTGTTTTTCAATATTTCTTCAATTTTATACATATAATATGACTTTTCATCAAGCTACGATCAATAGGAGTAAAGCAGTGAAGGGAAATGTTAAAAATGTCCACCCGTGCGACGCCGGGACGGGCCGCTAGTTCTACAATATAGATGTATGCATATAAAGATAACTGTATAATGTATTCCAATTTAATTAATAAATATCTGCTATATATAATAGTCTGCTCTTCGATTGCATCACAATAATATAAACTGTTATCCAATCTTGTCAATGTTTACATATATCCACTTTTGGCTTTGTTATAATATAAATGTATGTGGTTACGTAGAATATTCACAAATATCAACGGTTATGGTTAATATTTTGTAACATCGTAAAGTCTTTCTTTAAATATGGTGGGCTATTAGTTGTATTTATTTTTAATCACCTCTATGACATTGCGCCTTTTTTACGCTTGGATTCCATTCATTAACATATAAACATGACGTGAACTATATATAATAAATCTTCCGGCCATTAAATATCTAGGTGCGTAATTACGCACTCGTATTGAGAAATTAAATAATTGGCGCTCTTATCTAGTCTGCCAAATCATTTTCTCAATAAGTGATAGAGATAAGTTGAAACGCAAAGATAAACTATGTTGACGCTTGCAACCCCTGACCCGTAGGGTGCTTAGATGAGCCTAATAAACGATTGTTGCCGTTGTAATGTACGTTTACTGCTGTTTTTATATTATATTATAAAGGGCCTCCGATTAACCTCAATCTAACTGAAAGAAAGTAATGAGGTTGAAGATGCAAAAGTTTTACGTTACAAAATTTTAAATGAAACTCATACTATTTTGGACATCTTTTTTGAACAGTAAACCGCTAACAAGACTAAAATAACAGTATATAAAACGTATGTAGATGAGATTTGGCAATTCTATTTGTAATTGATGGTGCTAACTTTATTAGTTATCTAATATATGCTTTAGAATGTTACGTAGCTTGCTCAATACAAAATTTAAGCTAATATAAGAATAAAAGAATATTTTCAATATACCTTAAATGTAATTTAATTAATTAATATTTATTTATGTTTCCCTGTGTCTAAATCTCTGGTGTAGGAAACCTTAACTGTTTTAATAAGTTATTGATAAAATGAAGGTTATTAATTTTATTCTACAGTACTATTCTTTATATGTATAATTAATAAGTACTACCCATGTATTATTTCTAATTACTTATGTGATTTTCGCTACAGTTTCGTGGTATTTTTTTATAATAATTGTTATACAATATTCGGAATCAGTGGATTTCGATATACATATATATTTAACAATTTATTACCAATATATTTAAAAGGAAGCAGTCTCTTCATAACGTTAGGCTTGCATAATATTACAGAACCCCCAGAGTGTGTTATCTACTCACATCTGTTCACCATTTTTAATGCATTTTCACGCTATCTTGTTTAGGTGAAAGTATATGTCTAAGTTGAAAATGGCAAATTATAATCGTATTTTAGTAGATGTTCCGTTGTTCTTTGTAGATTATAGAATTTTCTATTTATGTACCTTAAACCACCACCGTCGCATTTATGTCGCGAAGTAGTATTCGTATGTATTTATGATTTGATCTAAAGAAGAAGAAATAGTTATCACGATTTCTGAGACAAGAAATAAAATACCTTAATTCTCAAATGGCATGACGGGTATAGCTGGCTTCTCATATAGTATTATAACCATGTTGTTATTGATTATAAAAGTAATAGTTTTTTATATATATATATATATATATATATATATATATATATATATATATATATATATATATATATATATATATATATATATATATATATATATATATAT